TAGAGATTGGGTACTGTCTTTTGATCGATTCTGTCTGAAACACGTAGCTCAATGCGGTGTAGGAAATAGAAAATATAGTTTGACCTAATAGTCGGTGTAAATGGGATGTACCGAACAGAAAACTAAAATCTAGAAAAGAATAGTGATCATCCTGTTTGAACCCCCGTGTGATGCACGCGAATGCGTGCGCAGCCAAACTGGTATTATATAATTCGAGAGACTGAGTACGCAGCTTGCACCCAGTTTCTCACATAACATCCGAAATTGAATCGATTGCCATTGCTAACGCCCAAGTCTCGAATCTGATGAGCCCATGTTAATGGCATGCCTGTAAAGGTGATGTTAGGATGGGTTCTCCCAAATCTCATGACAGTTGTTTTTTGTAAACACCACATTTGAGACCACGCTTATACAGAGTTTTTCGCACTTTGAAGGTTTCGACAGTCATTTACAATCTGAATTTCGGAGCCATCTGCATACATACTACAGAAAGCACCGCGAGACAGACACGTATTCAAATCATTGACGAATAAAATACACAGTAGATGCCTTAAACATGTGTCTTGAGGGACTCGACTTGGTTCTGAGTAAGAGGACGAAGAGCTGTTGTTTACAATTACAATTGCACTCACTTTCACTGAAAGATGATCAGCAGAAGTTTGAGTAACCGAGCCCTGACTCCATACGCACTGAGCTTTCGGAGAATTGAACCAAACGTCTTGGCGTAGTCTATAAAAGCAGAATGAGATACAGGTTCCCTTATCCCTCCCCCATGCCAAAGCAGGGCGGCGGACATAAGAGCTGAAGTTGTTGTCTTGTGTTTTAGAAATGCATGCTGAACTACGTGAAGCAAATCCCTTCTATGAGGTAGTTGGTGAATTTCTGAAGAAGGATTCTTTCCATGACTTTGTTAACTGAACTGCTCAGGCATATAGTCCTGTAGTTCAACAGTGTTCACAACTTCTTCTCCCTAACATTGATCCCGCGCAGTAGCAGGGACCGCTGTCCTTATCGTCACCTACTTCTTCTGTCCAGGACATTTTACCGCGGCCCTGTCCTCGTCTAGGTCCTTCTTGATTACGTCCCTTCTTCGAGGCTCCTCGGGATCGCTCACTTTTTCCTTCGAAGTCTGTAGCTTTCCTTACATGGTGGTCCTCTCTCACCCTCAGCATGTGTACACACCATCACAGGCATTGTTCACTCATCTTGAATTGGACACGGCAGTCCTGCATGACCGCTCTGACATCCTCGTTTCTGACCCTGTCCAGTCGCGTCCAGCCGCAGGCCCATTAGCATCCACATTTTAGCGGGTGAAGCAGCCTCTCATGGTTCTTGCCCACTGGGCCGGCACTCCCTGCTGTATAGCATCTCAAGCTACGGCTGCTAAATGCATCTCTCTTTTGATCACAGAGGATCGATTAGTTGTCCACCATTGGCTCTGTGCCCTCTTGCTCAACTCAGGAACTTGGTCTTCTTGACATTCAGCCGAGCCCACCTTCTGCCAGGACTTCTGCCATTTCTGCACCTTGGCCTGAAGTTCTTCTCTACTATCCGCTATCAGGGCGATGTCGTCAGCGTAGAGGATGGTCTTCAGTGGCCCTTCCATGAGCCCCTTCACCATGACATCTAGTGTTAGGAGGAAGAGGAACGGGAGCTGACCCTTGATGCACCCCAACCGTGATGTTTACCTTCCTTTGTTAGGCCGTGTGGGGTGCGTATGGCTGCCTTAGCCCCATCGTACATGTCCTTCACCAAAGAGATCAGGTGTGCTGGTACATCCTTTCCCTGAGCGTACTAGGCAGTTGAGAGCCTTCTGCAGAAACTTGATATATTGATATATATCGTCGTCGTTGCTGTGTCACGCGGATATGGTACACGAACACCGTTGCACAAGGTGTACCTTTGCCACTGTATAAAAGCAAATTATAAAATGGGTATAGCAAATATGAATGATGTGAGATACGATAAAAAGTGCAGCGCTAAACCAAGTTGAAGCCACAGCAAGAAGGGCGTTGAAGCGGAGAAAAGGAATGTCCCACGACGGTCCATTGGCTATTTATACGGCTATACGGTGACGATCCATGTTTGTCTGAAGCAGAAGCCTTTAGAAACATCAGTCATCCTGGTAACGCTAAATGTTATGAGAAAATAGTACGTCACGGCAAATGTTGATGGTAGGCCGTGCGGCGCAGCGTTTTCCCAGCTCCTGAAGAAGATGTTTTCATATACATTCAATATATTATGTAAACTTAGCTAAGAAGATTGCTGTAGCGATACTCCCGCAGGCAAACCTCAGTTGCGTAGGTGCTGGAGATACGCTTCCAGGTCCCGTATCCTTCGTTGGCAGCGACCAAGCCCAAGTCTCGCCATTGTGAGTTGTTCAAGGACCATTGGTGGGTTTCCGGTAATTCACAAAGAGCCGAATGATGCCCAGTCTCGCGGCAATGGTAACATATAGTCGAGCGCTTCTTGCAAAATTGACCGCCAGTGCAATACTCCAAGCAAAGAGTGCATAACCTTTTTCCAGCTACGAGATGTCTCCTATGCTCCACTGTATTGACTACATGGCATGAGTCAGAATAATGCTCCCCCATTGCTTCACAAAAAACGCAACGCATGTATCCTGAAACGAATTTCTCCCCGCTCGAATCTCCTCGGTGGGCAGGTTGGCTTCTCCAGTAAAGCCTGAATGCTCCTTTGAAAGTTTGATTCGGCCAGTCGTAACTGAAGTACTTCCCCTTCGACTTCACGTCGTCTCATCGCAAGTGCTGGATTTTCCGGCTATTGAGCATTTCTCGGCAGATCATCTTCTCGTTCCTGATTTTCGAGCTCTGGTGGGTTCTCCGGTCGCGCATCTTCTCGCTCCTGAATTTCAGGTTCTGGAGGATTTCTTAGCTGCTCGTCTTCTTGTTCCTGATTTTCAGGCTCTGGAGGGTGTCTTAGTTGCGCATCTTCACCTTCTGCTTCTAAATCATAATTTCTTCCATGAACTCGGCATTTTCGCGTATGCTTTCTTGTTCTTGCGCTTCCAAGGGAACGCCCTCCCCCACCGGCGGAGGTTCTTGTGGATCAATCATTTCGACGTTGTTTCTCTGTT